TTTTTTTAACTTTATTGTTTGTTTTCTTTTCTTCTTCTTTTTTTTTTTTTTTTTTTTTTTTTTTTCTCGGAAGCTGTAAATCAAGACATTACATATAAATAGAGATTCCCTATAAAAAAGTCATTGTCGTTAGCTATTATAAGACAACTTTGCTAAAATGAAAATAAAACATTTTTATTTGTTATATTTTTTTGTTTTCCCCTCTTTTATATAAAATAAAAATATTTATTTTTTTTGTGTTTTGTGGGTTTTTTTTGTTTTCTCGCCTCGCCTCCCTCGTCTCGGCCTCCTCCGTGCGGGGTGGCGGCTGCGCGCAGGAGGCGCTCAGAGAGAGTCGGGGTCCGCTTTGGGCGCCGTGTGCCCCAGGCTGCCGCGGCCGCCGTCGCTGTGCCCGCGGCACGAGTAGTGAGTCCGGCTGTCGCCCGGCCGGTGCAGCGGCGGCGACTCGGCGTGCGCCGCCTCATTGTTCTGAGTGCTTAGGAACGGCGTGCTCTCGGCCACCAGCTCCTCGTCAGACTCGCTGTAAGAGGCGCTGCTCAAGGAGAAGGAGTCCCGGACGGCTCTGGCTCTGTGAGGGATGTGCCCGTTCAGTTTGGATTTTTTCCACCGCCTGTTGCTGCTGGCTGTTTTCTTTGGCTGCTCTAGCGCTGTGACGTACTCCTGCGTCGTCTCGTACTCGTCRTCCTCTGTGATGCGGAAGGGGCTGGAGGGCAGGCTCCCCATGCTGTCGTTTAGGTAGGTCTTCCTTTGGTAGTAGCTGTCGTACCTCTGCGTGTCCTGGAAGGGGAGCTGGTAGCGCCGCAGGAGGGGCTGCTGCTCCTCCACGCGAAAGCTGATGGGAGCCGCCGGCGGCAGGGACACGGCGTGCGCCGAGTTCGGGGAGGTGATCTCGAACGTGGGCACCTGCGTGGGCATCGAGTAGTGGAAGTCAACGGGCGACAGGCGTGCTGGTGTGGTCAGGGCCGACACATACCTGCAAGAGCAACACCTCTGTTTGGACACCGGACGACCCCAAAAACCACCGGCTGAGCCCGCGCTCTGCTGAACACACACGTGGCCCAGGGACCCACGAGGGCTCCGCTGAACCTGCTGGTGGAGCTCTGCTCCTCTGGGGGAATCAGGAGGAGAACCCTTGCACTGCTGTGCCGGGGCAGGGTGAGCTGCTGCCTTCCATGGGCAGCATGTGCTGAGCACCCCTGACGGCTCCTCCCGAGGGACTCRCCGTGCAATTCCCACTCTGCCTCGCTGCAAACCCTGCAGCATCTCCCAGCAGGCTGAGTCACGGCTTCGCTGCCTCTCACCTGCCTGACAGCTGCTTTCTGTTCCCTCTGGAGCTGCCAGCCTTGTCTCTGAGGAAGGTCCCTGGAATTCCCTCCCCCTGCTCAGGCCGCAGATGAGGAAAGCCTGGGCACTGCTTTCTCTGACTTAGCGGAAATCTTGTGTCTCAAAAAGCCACCTACTGCTCTCATCTGCTCTAGTGACAGCATCAGTGTGGTCACTCAGGTCTGGTGTAGCCCCTCTCCAAGCAGCYCTTCCTTCAGCATCACCCCTTTCTAAGGAGCAGATCTCGTTTCCTCTCTGCAGTCCCAGTGGTGTCTCTGCCCAATCCCACCTGCCCAGGCTCTGTGGCTCATCCAGGAGCTTCACTCCCATGTGTTTTGTGATGTGTGACATCTCCATAGGAGCTGGGTCAGCCTGCATGGACCAGGGACAGGAGTGAGAGCAGGAGATGCTGCCTTTCTCCTCTGTCTCATGGACAAGTTCTACTGCCTTGAAGGGAAATTGCCCGAAAGTGGCCACCAAGAGTCACTCATGGCTACCTGCAAAGGCCTGGAGCAAGGGTGGAGAAGTGCAGAACCAGGCCAGGAAGAGGACTGCTGCTGCTGTCTCAGCTCTGCAGTGCTGWCCCTTGAAGGTGATACCCAGTCCTGTGCCAGGGCTGTGCCCTGCTCACCTGACCATGCAGGACTGTGCTTAGGACAGACACCTTTGTCCCAGGTACCAGAGGGCCAGACCCTGCTGGAGCTGCTGGCTCACCAAGCTGCTCAGGGTGTTCTCTCAGTCACTGCCAGTTGCTCCTGCAGCCAGGTGTATTCTGCTCCTGTCATCCCTGTGCTCCAAATGCCACCAAGGTGCAGAGCTGCTGCCACCCTGACCAAAGTGGCCTCCTGGGGTAGCGGCTTCCTCTGGTAGGAGCAGAGCTGGAGTTTCCCCAGTGCTACCATGGCCCTGCTGCTCTAGGGCTGGCAAAAGCAAACATTTCTGTGTTTCTGTGGCACCGAGCAGTGGGGTCTGACCTCTCGCTGTGGGGCGAGTCCCGCAGGGAATCCACCGAGTCGCGGTACTGCGTCGTGGGCCGCCGCGAGTCCTCGATGCAGAAGGTGGCCCCGCGGCGAGCCCGTGCCTCCACGCACGCGGGGCTGTTGCATTTACTGGTTCCCACCGAGGACAGCATTATCCCAGACTGCGAATCTGAAGTCAGGCTCTCTGTTCGCTCCAAGCTCCAGGTGTGGCTTTCATGTCTGTGGAGCAAAGCCCATAAGGACAGTGAGTGAGGAATCCCCACCCCGCTGTCTCCAAAACCTGCACACAGACACTGCTCACACTCAGCTCTGCACCCCTGCTCTGGTTTTCCCCTTCTCTCTCATTAGGATATGTCAGGCCAGGGATGCCCAAATTCCCAACCCTACCTTTGATTTGCCTTTTTTTGCTCCTCYTTGGAGATGTCATTAGAGGACCAAGGAAGTAAAGCAGTGCCATAGCAGGTATTTATCCCACCACGGAATAAATAGCTGGGGGCAGGATGGGACAGCCTCTGGAGGGATGCCAGGGCAATTCTGCTTTGTGCTTGCAAAGTGTTCTGGGTGTGGAGCAACACATTGGCTATGCCAAGGCAAGTCAGCCAAGTTTCTTCACATGTGCCACCTGCATTGCCAAGTGACAGCCCCTTTGGAATCRCTACCGCAGAGGAGCCAGGAGAAGCCACTCAAAATGAGCAGAGCAAAGTGTACCRAAGGTTTTGGCAGCAAAACTCTTTCAAGGTGCTAGACAAAGACTGTGATGTGCTGGGTGGTTGGAGCCCCAGCTGCCCCGGTCTTGGTGCACACAGGACATCCCACGAGAGCTCACTGGGGACAGCAGGTGCTGACCACTGACCCCACCACACKGACCCCCACCACTGCAGAAACACGGGATCCATTAGAGCAATCCCTCCGAACTTCCAAACTGCAGCAGATGGAGCTGTGTGGGTGGAGGATTTTTGGGTGGGGGTTTAGAGAGGACAGCAGCCCTCATTAAGAACTTCCCAAGAACTTGTTAATTATTGATGGCTCCAGGCACATGCTCATTTATAACTTCAAACAGCGTCCTCATTAGAGGCGCTGATGGAGTAAAATGGAGCCTGATTATGCCAGTAGTTTGCCTCTGGCATGACTTCAAGAGGCACCTGCTCGCTACACTTGACTCAGGAAAATGAGGTGGCAGGTAGCCAGGACCAGAGGCTACGCAAGGTAGGTTCCTCCCTACAGCTGCCATGAGCTAATGCTGCCCTCCAGACACACCTTTGCATCTTCAGAAGGTGCCCAGGGATGGCCCAGGCCTTTGAAGTGATCATGGAAGGCCAGCAAAGTGCAGCTCTGCAGGCACAGGAGCCTCTGCGCACCTGGCTCAAGCTTGCACACACCCAGCCAGGGCTGGGCTGCAGAGTACAAATGCCAAAAAACCTGGAAAACATAGTCTAGCTCAYGAGGTGTGGGATTTCCCTGGAAAAAGGAGTCATTCCCAGCCCATCATTCCTGGCTCCCTCTCTGCTTGCTGAAGGTACAGCCAGAGGAATCTGGGGAGGAATTCACCTGAAAACCAAAATTCGACATCTGACATTGATCTTGCCCRGTGTAACCAGAGCACTTGCTCAAGACTGAGGAATGCCTGAACCCTAAGGAAACCTGCCTGGAGGCACCTATGAGCTTTAGCTGAAAGAATTCCTGCATTCCTGGATGAGTGGGGACAACCCCATCAGGCTGGTGAAGGACATGAGCCAGTCACGTATCAAAGGCAGTGATCTCCAGGGGAAACACCTGTCACTTACTGGAAAAAACACAAGAGGTGTCAAAGAGGAACAACAGGAACATCCAAACTCAAAACAGCACAGGACCTCTTTTAGAGCATTTGAAGGACTTTTCTGAACATCGTAAAAATAGGGAAGTCCATCTGCAGTTTAAACGTTGTCAAAAACCATGAGAATATTCAGGTTCCAACCCATRTTGTTCTTCCCCCAATGGTTATTTTGAAATGAAAATAAAAATATGTCTCATCTTGTGTCACAAGAATTGTCAGCACTTTCCTGCTAAACCCAGTTTTCCCAAAAGCTTCAGAATGACTTGCAGTGAAAGAGGTGCCACCACCTGAGGCTGAGGGTGACAAATTGCATGGGAGAATTTTCTTTCTGGTTGAAACCTGTGACTTCCGAGTCARACCCTGTCTCCGAGGAGCCGATCAGAACATTTTGTGATTTTTGTGTACTTTATCTCCCACAAGTCAAATTCATTCTAAATGTGAAACAGATAACCTGTGTCTGCTCAGTGAAGTATTTCCAGATGTCCATCATGGCTGCAAACATAACCTGTAAAACCTTTCCTACAGACGTCCTCCCATTTGGGTCTGTGCAAAGCATGGAAGCACAAATTCATTTCCTCCTGTTTTCCAGCTATGTCAGTGCTGCAGGATCCTGCTGGCACCTCCCTGCAGGTCAAGGATCACACTTTTCCATACCTCTCAGTAACTCACTGTGCCTGCAATGGCCTGTGTGCCACTGCAGAGCCAAACAACAAGTGAAAACAGAAAGGGAGGTGAAAGGAAAACCTTTGAATCTCACAGCATCCTATKGCAAACAGCAGGAGAAAGCAGCAGAGAAAATGGCATACATCACCTCTGGCTGGACGTCGGGGTGGCTGTGGAGCAGTGATGGGATGGGGAGCAGGAGTGACTTCCTGAAAAGGTTGTCTCTGTTTCCCTTCGGATCACGTGCTCGGTGGCAGAAACATTCTTAGAAATRTACTGCAAAATAGCAGAGAATCACACAGATCAGCCACCAGCCTGTGAATGCTGCCAAAGAAAAATTTAGCTAGCCTGATTACTTCTGTGAAATCAGGTGAGGACTGAGCAAACCCAGAAGCTCTGCAGCCCACGGGGAGGGATGAGGAGGGTGAAGGCTTTTCTCTGCCCCTTCACTTTGAACACTGGAAAAGGGCAGTGGCAGGGGGGCTGCAGCAGGGTGTGAGAGCTGAAGGGTTTCCCAGAGGACAGTGGTACCATGAGTAGCTACTGAGCAGAGACATCCCTGCCCACAGCAGGTTACACCCGACCGAGTCCCAGCAAAAAGAGAACAACGTGAAATCTGTCAGAGATGTGAGTCCTACAGAAACACCAGATGTGATGCAAATATTTATGCTGAGATATTCCTTTATCTAACCACCAACCCTCTTCCCACAGGGGCACTAAGCACTCTGGGAGAGTCAGTACTTTGGGGCCAGGGGGCTKTGTTCTCAGAATTCCCTTTCCCCCTTCCTCCATGGCTGGGACCCAACMCAGCTAAATTTTAACATCTAAAGGATGACCCGAGAGAGCTTGCAGCTGATTCACTGGACTCATTTCTAACAGTACTTTTCCTTGTTTGGCTCTGCCTCCCCCTTCCCTTTTTCTGACCCCTTTCAAGCCCTTGGTCCAGCGAGGCACTTAAGCCCATTGATGGCCCTGTTGAGTTCATGGGGTTTGATGGGAATTCATGGGACTGACGTAATGAGAGTGGCTGGACAATCCTCTGTCCTAAAGACTTAATTGTTCTCATTGACAGTGGCATCCCACCAGGATTTCCCACCTTGCCCAGGACAGAGCACGTGGCATGGGCAGGGGGTCTGATGGACAGCTGACCACAACACCATGATGTGATGTGCTTCAGCACGACAYAGTCACCACGGTGGGACTGGACAGGACAATAAACAAAAACATCGGGAAYATCTCTCCCAGTGGAAACGAGGGTCACACTGGATTCATCAAAACAAGCCTATCCCAAATGCCCTGCACTTCAGGCAGTCTCGCCCTGCACTTCAGGCAATCTCATCCTGCACTTCAAAGCAAAATCACATGCCCCTTCAGATGCTGCTTTTGGAAATGTTTCTGCTCAGGATCTTATCTTTTTGCTCAAGTTTGTTTGTGTTTTGCTCCTCTCTCTCACACGCACACGTGGATGTGTAAGGATACACATCCATGTCAAATCCCTGGTGGAAAACAAGGATTGGCCTCAGTGGCATGCAGGGAGATGGAGACACAGGGTCTTACATCAGCCATTTGGATTTCCTCAGGATCCAAACGTGGATGGCTTGGCCCATTCGCAAGGCTCCGGTTTTGATGAGCGGGACACATGTTCTGCCGCAAGTGGTTATGCATTTGTTTTCTTTGTTTCCTTCAAAACAGAAAAAAAWTCTATTAGGAACCCTTCTCTCATGGGGCTCTCTGCCCCCAGAGATGAAAGGGAAGGCAAGTCTTGGACACAGGAATGTTCCATGGGGTTCATGGAAAGTTGMAACAAAGGAACAAAGCATTCAGTGCTTAACACCTCCTAATGCTTTTCCACATAAAAGGTGAACTTTTCTTGTCATGGGCAATTTGGGAAGCTGGGTCCAGGGTCTCCCTTCCAATACAAGGCCCAGCACAACCCGTGGCACCATGGTGCTTGCAGTGAAGAAAAGTGGGGAGAAGGAAAAGGGGGAGCAGGTCCTGACTTGGCCTTTTGGTGACAAATACTTGACCAGTCCTGCACTAAGGACAAAGTGTCAAAGCCTACCCATGGTGGGACATCCACTCCACAAGAGCCGCTGAGTCCCAGGCACCCTGAACTGAGATGAGGTGCAGGCTGAGTAGGGAGAAATGTGCTGAGCAGGCAGGGAAGGTGACCATAAAAGAGGTTCCCGAGTCTCCTGTTCCATCCAGACTGCTCTGAAATCCCTGTGATGCACACAGCTGAGCCCACAGCTCCTGCACAACAGCYCAGGGCACTTCTGCTGGCAGGAGCTGAGCTGCTGGCTTGGGGGCCAGCTTTTCCCTGGAACACAGCATCACCTGGCTGGCCAAAATGATGCTGTTTCAGGGAATAAACAAATGGTGCCAGGAAATTCAGGCACAGCCTGGCAGAGAGCTTCAGTGGCCTCCTGCATGAGACCTTCCTGGGAATACCAGAGCCCATCATCTCCTGAAAACAGCATTTGGGTGAGAAGCATGGCAGTGTGGAATGTGAACACTGCCCCTCACTAACCTCTGGCCAGTTCTCTCCTGCCAGCACCCCATACTCACTTGGTTTTACAGTAAGCTACCACACAGACGATGCCCACCACGAGCAAGGCCACACAGATTCCCGTGATRGTTAAAACTCTCTTCTGGTAGAGCTCCTCAGCTTCTGCAAATGGAGAGAAAGAAAAGTTACCCATGAGCTCCAGCACCGGGGCGGTGTCTGGCTGCACAAGAACCAGCACTGTGTGGGGGTGAGACAGAGGACAGGGCTTGGGCAGCCCTCCTCCCATCCACTGCCCCAAAATGCCATCTGATGGCTGCTCCAAACCTGAGCCTGGCTGGCCCGACCTCACTCACCCCTCAAAAGACCTTCACTCCTTTTGTCTCCCTGCGCCTTTGCCCTCTCTCACTCAGCAGCTCACCCCTTCTCCCTTCACACTTGTCACCTTCCCTCTTTTCCCACAGTGGCTAATCTCAAAAAGCCGTGTGACTCTGCTCTCCCTTCCAGCAGATCCCTCCTTGCCGGGGCCCAGGTCACCTCCCAGGGGAGCCCTGGAGCGCCCCAGATCCCTGATCCCACTGGGCTCTGCTCAGGATGCTCTGCCTTGAGCAGCTCCATGCCCTGGGGCTGGCTGGGGTGGGAGCACCACCGAGAAAAGCCCCAAAGCGTGTGGGTGCTGAAAGGGACATCCTGCAACAGTCAAAAAGCAGCATGAGGATGGAAAAGTGATAGCGTGTCAGGCAAAGGAGAGGGAGCGGAGTAATTTAAATCCAGGAACCRGTTATGGATTTTTAATGAAACCCTAGGAAGCGATTCATTCCTTGCTCCAGGTAACGCAGAGGCACACACAGAATGGGAGCAGCTTGCTGCTGCCTCTCTCAGCTACCACCACGAGTCACGGGCTGCCTTTCCAACCAGAAGAGCCAGGCACTTGCACCAAAACCCAGACCATGCTGGAAGTGAGGAGATTCATTCCCATCAACCAAAGCTCCCGGGAAATCCCAGCTTGGATCTGGCCTGGAGTGTGACCATGCTGCATGGGGCAGCACCACCATGGCAAGGACACCTCCTCCTCCAGGGCCACACCAGAGCAGATGGGACACCCAGCAACCTCCACCAAGACCAGGGGCAGTTTGGTTTTGCAGCTGAATGGGGCAGTTTGGATTTCCAGGTGGATGGGGCAGTTTGCTTTTCCAGCTGGATGGGGCAGTTTGCTTTTCCAGCTGCATGGGGCAGTTTGCTTTTCCAGCTGGATGGCTGAGACAAGGGCTCAGTGCAGAGCTGCCACCAGAGTTTCAGTTCAGCAGCTGTGAACAATGTCCTCATGCCCCCAGACTATGTGTTAAAGTTACTGGGRGTTGTGCCTTCTTTAATATTCATGGTTTTTATTTTTCTTTTAATCTAAATTAGGGAATAAAAGTCATGCCATGGTTGATGCACTCGATGTGCTTCTCTACACCACTCAAAATACCCTGAA